ATAATAAAAAATCACTTATTTATTGCAAAAATTGTGCAGAGAAAACGTCAAAAAATGGAAATTTATTTTCATAAGCGTTTCATATTCAAAATTTTTGACTTTTTTCAATTTTTTTAGGTTCAATTACGAATTATGGGTATAAATAATAAGAATTTTTTCGCTGCCTGTTATAGGATCAATATCACGGACGCCATTTGTCCAGCAGCTGAGCAACTCGCACGCGTACCTGCCAAATGGGATGCTTCATATGTCCGCCATTTTTAAATATTTTTGGAAAAAAAAATACGTATGGACAGTCCAAAACATATATAAATAAATGTTTAAGTTTGAAAAATATAGAAAAATTCTTTCTCCTACAAAAAAATTCTTGAAAATAGCTTATTTTTCCTCGTTCTAATTGGATTTCCCCCCTTAAGTTCTCATTGTAGATCACGTTTTAGAGGCTTTCTACAATAAGCAATAAGTATTAAGTTGCAATAAAATTGACCAATTACAATGGATTATCCTTCTAATAGTCAACTGTGATTGGTCAATTTTATTATGACTTAAGATTTATTGCTTATTGTAGAATGGAATGCTTTACGGAAAGCAGCACATTAATTGTTTATCGTGTGCAAATTTTCGTCGCGTGGCAAGCGTTGTCGCGATCTGTGTACAGAAGCCACTATAGTAAAAAAGTAACGATACAAGTAACGATGAATTTCGTTACTCGTTACTAAAGAAAATGTAACGCAGTCACTTTTTTGTTACTAATACAAAAAAGTAACGGCGTTACCAAATCGTTACTAAAAAAAAGTGATGAAATAGTAACGCGTTACTTCCCAACCCTGATTTACACTATGTACTATTACTTCAGTTCTTGTCATGATCAATTACCACATAAACCTGTGAGTAATAGCTCGCGATAGTGACCATTTGATACACTAGTAAAATTTCATCGAAAAAAAATATATGTTCAAATCGTTTCACAAACGAATGTGCCATCAGAAGAAAAAAGAGATTTACGTGGTATCCATGAGTCATACTGGAATCGAAGATCAAACGATCTCCCCGATCTGCTATTGATGGTTTCACGAACGTACAAGTGGCTCTAGTACTCTGGCCTTTGTTGTAATGAAATTGAATGCGTATTTCGTTCTCAATCATTGTAAATTCTCGGACAGCTATATCCTTGTGAGCCGGAACTTTCTCGTTTCTGTGATATTTTTCGACGATTTTCTGCAACATATATAAAAACTCGATCATGCGTACTATGTTATTATAAATTAAAAGAATATTAGCATAAAAAAGATGCATTACTGTGATATGTCGAAAATGAATGTTATCCACCGCCGAACCGCTTCCATCGGTCGAAAATTCAGCCTGCCTGTTAAAAATAATAGAAAAAATAGTAAATATTTTAAGCGAACTTATTAATAAATATTTTAGCGAACTTATTAATAGTCTTTTACAAGTATTGTTTAAAATTACCGCCTTGAGAAACATTCAAAAGGTTTTAGTCATCATTGCTAATTATTAAAATCATTATTTGTTATAAAATTATCAAAAACTTATTAACAAAACAGAGATTAAATAAAAATAATAATTTTTGAGCATGTAAATAAGGACGGTCAACTTGTATGTATACTCGTGATCGGAAAAGTTATCTGGCTTTGTTTTTTTTATAAGTTTAGAAACCTATTCTTCTTGTTTGATAAGAGAGCTCTTTTATTGGAAAATAAATTCTTCCATTGGATAAAAAGGATATGTTCTTAAATTTACAAAAAAAAACCAGGTAATCTTTCCGACTATCAGTTTACAGCGACAAGATATTGTTAAAGACTGTCAACTCTGACAGAATTATTATTGTTCGGTTTTATTACTAGTGGCAAATGATTTTGAGTATTTAAATTACAGAGTTATTAATGTTACAGAATAATTGAGTGATTATAGCGACAGTGATAATCATTGAGGTATTATTAAATTCCTGTGATGAAATACTAATGTGAATTATTCCCCAATAACGAGATAGATAAGCATCAGTTTTCTCATGGTTAATATGAATTGTTTCATATTTTATATTATTTAAATTAACTTATTGTTTACTTTAGTTCGTTATAATATTTAGTTAAAAATCTAAAAACATGTCGGTTATGGTTCGTTGATATACATTATAACAATATTAGTCGCACTTCGACTGCATCGTATATATACTAAGTGTGCAACTAAGTTTCCGGGTTTTTTTTGATCAATGAAAAATGGAAAATTTCAAGAGAAATACAAAAAATGGTTTATTCGAAGTATCGTCTCTCGCTAGCTACACATTTTTGTCATCTTTCTGGCAATACATGAATACCGTGACGATAAAACGACGCGTCTTTGGACCGAAACCATTCATCCAACCAATTTTGCACTTCTTCGAAATTGGCCAACCAAGCCATGCGCCATCGATCGGAACAAGTGATAATCGGAAGGGGCCAGGTCTGGTGAATACGGCGGGTGCGGTAGCAGATCCCATTTCAGCGTTTTGATGGTGACCTGGACGATGGAAGTGCGATGGCACAGAGCGTTGTCGTGTTGCAATATCACTCGTTCGTGTCTCGTATCCCATTCTGGCCGTTTTTCGAGCAATGCATGGTTCAAATTGATCAGTTGTTGTCGATAGCGATGCCCATTGACAGTTTCGCCCGGTTTCAGCAGCTCATAGTACACGATTCCTTTCTGGTCCCACCAAACGCAGAGCATTGTCTTCTTTCCGAAGCGATTTGGCCGTGCCGTCGATGTTGATGCTTCGCCAGGTGAAAGCCACGATTTTTTGCGTTTGGGATTCTCGAAATATATCCACTTCTCATCGTCAGTAACAATTCGATGTAGGAAACTCTTTCTTTTATGCCGCAAAAGCAAAATTTCGGAAGTGGCTCTTCGATTTTCGATCTGTCTCTCAGTCAACTCATGCGGCACCCATTTTCCTTCCTTTTGAATTTTTCCCATGGCATGTAAACGTTTGGAAATACCTTGTCCTTAGTGTCGAAATCGCCACTTCTGAAGCGTTTAAACCTATCACAGGTAATTTTTGATGGTGCATGTTCGCCGTAGGCCTCCTCAAGCAAACGTGCTTCAGCTGCATTTTTTTCAAGTTAAAGTAGAAAAGCAAAGCTTCCCGCAAATGCTGTTTATTTGGCACAAAACTCGACATCTTCATTGTTAGAAAAAATATTTTTGCGTTGCGATATGTGTTGGTATTATGACTAGTTATTGTTGACAGATGTCCAAGCTATAAAAAAAACACAACTTTAGACATGTATGTCGACTACATGTGTTGTTAGCGCCATCCATGTGTGAAACCCGGAAACTTAATTGCGCACCTAGTATAAGTATAATTCAGTAAAATATCATCATAGCTCATTGGCTATGACTCACTATGAGTTCTAATTCGATTATTTAGGTTAAGTAGTGGATAGCGTGGTAAGAAAGGATGAGAGTGTTAACAAGAGAGTGCTATAACAACGGATTGAAACAACGTAGCGATATAAAATATCATAACAAACAAAGGTTTTTCTAAAAAAAAAAAAGGCAAAAAAAGGCGCCAAGTGCATGCGTTTTCTCGTAAATAAATATTATAAAAAAAAGTTATTAGTAAAATTTTCACAAAAAGAAATGATATCAAACGGTTTATGCCAAGTGAAATTAATTTCATACACAATAAATATTGTTATAACTACTTTGTATGTATGAACACTACATTAAGTATCTGCTGACTTTATCTTCTGATAATTACACAGAATTGGGAAGAAATAATGTTTAAAAGCTTATTTAGTAAATATACAAAATAAAAATTTTGGGAAAATTTAAATAAAATCTCACACGCACACACAAAACACTTGATGTGCCAGAGAGGATCGCATTAATACTTTTAATGCTTTACGAAAATCTTTAGGACATATGTTGTACAAGTAGCATTAAGAGAATGGGCATGCTAAGTATTTTGTGTATGTGTGTAAAATTTTACCCTGACACGCCAAGTGTTTTGTGTGTGCGTATAAAATTTTATTTAACTTTTCCCAAAATTTTTATTTTGGTATGTTTACTAAATAAGCTTTTAGACATTATTTTTTCCCAATTCTATTATCAGAAGATAAAGTCAGTAGATACTTAATGTTCATACGTACAAAGTAGTTATAACATTTATAGTCTATGAAATTAATTTCACTTGGCGTAAACCGTTTGATATCATTTTCTTTTTTTGAGAATTTTACCAATAACTTTTTTTATAATATTTATTTATACAAGGAATAAATAAATGCACTTGGCGTCTTTTTTAACTTTTTTTTTTTAGAAAAAAGTAGGTTTGTTACGATACCTTTTTCTCGAAAATGACTAATAAATACCTATTGTACACATAAACATAACATAAAATGCATCAATAAATTGATACAGATAGATGAGATTAAATATATTTATTCTTTAGTATAAAAAGTAGAAGTCCATTTCTCTCTGTGCTATCTTTTCACTCCTCTGTTTTTCTCTCTCTCTCTCTCTCCCTCCCTCCCTTCCTCTCTCCCCCCTCTCTCTCTCTCCCCTCCCTCCCCCTCTCCCTCTCTCCCTCTCCCTCTCC